CCGGGTTTCGATACCCGTGGTGAGCAGAGCACAGATAGCCAATTGTGTAGCTTTGTGCTTAATTACAAACAAACAAACCTCTCTCTGAACTAGATGGCGATGCCGTTCTATATTACGGCTTTAAAGTTTTGATACAATTCTTGAATATTATAAAGTTCCCAGCTAGACAGCTGAATTTGTTTTTCTTAAATTTAATGTTTTATCAACAGTCGTATTTTTACATGTTAATATTCATATTTTATTATCATAAGCTTTCATGATCCTTTGCCACGTACATGTGTTTTGTCATAAAACAAAGATGTTTAGTAAATCAAATTAAATATAACTATGTCTTAAATCATTTTTTCAAGCATATTTCAAATGATTAGAAAACAAATTCGTGCTGTATCAATGGTTTCTGGCCAGGCTTTTTTTAACAACCTACTTTCCTATTGTTTGTTTTTGTTTTTTTTTTCTTTAAACAAAAAATAACAAAATGACAACATCAAACTTTCCCTTAGGCCTACAATTGATTATTCATTTCACCTAATTCATTAGTTTTACAACAAAATTAATCTTATGTAGAGCCAAGAATTTGTTGCTAAACCACGAATAGCATTCTTTCGTACTCAGAGCGCGATCAATTAGCCTAATCACCAGAAAATGTCCCTAATTATTGCTTGAAAAAGCACTATTCATCAAAGCCTGAATCAAGATTTAATCAGGATTCGTAACTCCAGCAATTCTAAGGGAAAATATTTTCTGTTTTAAGACTCTTGATAGATAGTCTTTTCCGTCAAATTAATAGATGACAACTCATCGAACGCAACAGAAGACGAGGATGTGGTCGTGGAATATGACAATAGAGAACACGTACATTCACCGACTGTGAGACGGTATACGTGTCCACTCACTTTTTGTAGAGTGGAATGCAAGGGAAACGTATTTACTACGGGCAAGATCTCTTGAACACGCTTCGCGGAATCTGATTTGGAGCTACTTTTCGTAGCTCATGTTAACCCACCGACCATGGGGTGTGGGTGTGTGAGGTAATTCTAGACCTTTCCTGAACACTGGTAATATGTGCTTTAAATAAATATGTTCTTGAAATATGTTGCAATATCTTTCTTGCTGAATGGGCTTTCTTTTATATTGTAATAATAAATGAGATCTTGGTATTTTGTAGTGTTCGAAAGTAAATAAAAATCTTTTGAAATATGTACGGTGTTTAAAGAAATACGCTAGCTGTTTTACGTTATATCAAACAACAATTGTTTATGTGTTTAAATGCAGAACAAATTTTCTTTTTAGAAGTATTTATGGCTTTGTGTGTGTGTATGTGTGCGTGTGTGTAAGATGTAATAACTTTTACCAAACTGTTTCAAAGCATAGCATATCTTGGAAGTGTTTCAATTTGTAACACAACAAATATTGTGCGATATTTGATTTTTGATGCATATTGTACGATGTTTTATATATATATACATATATGTATGTTAAATGATTTTAAAAGATATTTCCTATCATCGTTACATGGCACTAAAGTTTGAATGTGTTACAATATCCAGTATAGCCATGTGTAATAAGTGTTGAAGTGATACAAAACTTTAACATCAACCGTGTTCGGCAGATACAAAAGAATATATTGACGTTTTCAGAAGTACGTGTGTATTGAGTAAATTTTTCAGGATAACATTTTTAAGAAAATAAGAACTAAATCAGTCTTTTGTATAATCGTCTGTGTGAACTTTAACGTTGTGCATAAGAATCAATTGATGATAATAAGAAAATAAAGAATATATAACAAAACTTATAGAAAGTGGTTTATTTGATTTTACCAACACGATTAACTCAATCAAGTTACTGTGTGTTTCCAAAACATGAAGAAGGGTTAAAATCTATATTGCCTTATTTCGTCACAGAGAGCTAACAGTCGTTGATATAATATCTACAAATAACGTCTAACGTTTTCCAAAACACACTGAAAAATGTCGTACTTTTTTGTATCAATATTTGTTTTTAAACAAAAACACATTAAGTTACTGAACAAATAAGGGAGATTTTTACGTAAATATCTAAGTAATCTATTTAAATATATATGTATGTCAGATTACTGCAGTGGAAACATAAATAATTCACTAAGCCTCTTTTTTTTTATCTTTGGAACATTTTAATGGACGACAGACAAGATAAATATAACCAATGAATAGCGGAATACTAAAATAAGTAACTAACTCTATTCTCATGTCTTGATTTAGCTAGCAAAAAAAATGAAATTTATTATCACATAAAGTAAAACTAAAAACCGTTTATAGGAAGGAAAAACTAATAAAATAAACCAATCAAGAAATATTTATGTAACAATAATGCTTGGCGATGGCTTGAATGGGTAATAAAGAAAAACTTCAATATAAGTTTAACATAACAGCAAATGTACAACGTTTCG